TGAAATCTTTCGTGAAAGGTTTGACATCCTTATTCCTCTCATTAGACCGATCAGTTGATGGTCTAAACAGTTTCTCACTACCAGAGCTGCCCTCTCTAGCAAACTTTCCCTTATCCTTAAGAATTCTCCTAAATTTTTTGACAAACAAGGCCATCTCATCCTCAAAACCTGAGGATTTTTCACCAACTTTCAGAGAGGAAACATGCACTCCTTGAAGTGCAACACTTTTTGATTTTTTGGAGTCATTTTCTTCCATATTCAATTCCATCTCATAGGTTTTCAATTTTCCTACAAGTTTGCCAAGCTTAATTTCATTTAAATTTTGGACCTCCATGATTGCGGTTTTCTTTGCTCTAAACCTAGATGGTAGAACACGAAAAATTTTCTGAACAACAAGAAGCTCTTCAATGGGTTGACCTGGACTCATGGCTTCATTTGTGATCATCTCAACTCTCCCATAGAACTCAGAAATAGACTCAGTTTTAGACATCTTAAGTTCTTCAAATTGTGCAAGCACCATCTGAAGTTTTAGGGTTCTAACTTGGTCATCCCCTTCATGAACCACCCTTAGTTTATCACAAGCTTGTTTAGCATTAGGGATGTGTTGTATATGTGCAAATTGTGTGCTAGACAAAGCTGTAACTAAGGCATTTCTGGCCTTCTTGTTTGAATATGCACCAAACATCTCAGCTTCAGTCCATTCTGACCTAGGTTTGGGTACAACCTCACCAAAAACAGTCTTGACCGAAGCAACCCACTCTTTTGTGAGATACTCACTTGCATACTCATCAAGAGCATCAAGAAATATCTCAAATTTTTCTCTCCATGCAGCGTAGTTATTACCGTCAAAATAAGGAGGGGAGTTGCAAGATCTAGCAACTCGATCCTTTTCCATAGTGAGCACACCTAAACACCAAAACAAATCCTAGGATCTCTCTATTTGTGTTAAGAGCTGACGCTCTGATACCAATTGAAATTGGTACTTAGGTGACTAATGGTAAATTTAATTACACAAATAAGACAAAACAACACAGCAATCTTCACACACTTTAAACCTTGACCAAATACACATATGACTAGTCAACTGCTAGTCATGAACAATCACAATCAAGATAACACACAGATCATGCCACAATGTACCTGCAATCCTAGAAGATTACTAGTGACAACCTAGGCACTCAGAAGGACCCGTCAATCTAGGTATCCCCTGTGCTAGCAACAACTATGGTGAAAGTGTGAAATCATCATAATCATGCAAACATCAAACAGCAGATAAAGATGACTAGTCAACCATCAAGAACACAAACCCAGAAAAATTACAGATATGCAAAATAGATTTTGTTCACCCAGAAACCCACCATTGGGAAAAACTGGGAGTCATCAACCGACCAGGCACTCCACTAAGTAGAAAAAGATTCTTACAAAGGAAACACAACCAAGCTCAAGATGCACCTAGGTCTATTTAGGAATATGAGCAATACCTCCTTTGTGCAATCTTCTTCTCCAGCTTAGCAAAAACTTGAAGCTCAGTTCTTCATGGCAATGGCAGCTCCTTCTCCAGCTCGTTCATCCCATGGCACTAGCTTGCAAGTTCTAACACAGACCGAAAACAATATTTGGATTCAAAGGAGAATGACCAATTTCTTCAAGAAACCATACCTAATACCCCATAGATAGTTCGAACTGCGTATGCACAATAATCAATTTTAGCTCTTGAAGAAATCAGTCTTGAATCAGATCTAGATATAAATGAGAGATGATTTGAATAGCTAGATGCAGATTCGGGTTTTCAAAAGCAGTTTTTCAAAAAGAAATCAATTGGAAAAACTTATAGATGAAAATATATGGTTCTCTCTTGAGGAAGAAGAGAAAGAAAGCAAAGCAATCTTTCCAAAACTTCCACGCGAAAGAGACAGCCGCCAAATGACCAAAATCGTGGCCTTTACAGCCAAAAAAATTCGTTATGTCAGAAAACACAGATGGCAGCAGAGAGAGAGAGAGAGGAATAGGACAAAACAGTTTGTTATCCAGCTGGAAACAAGGATGACTAGTCATATGAGAAACGGATGACTAGTCATCATTTTATGAAGACTGTTTAATGTAATGAAATGCAATGCTCAATACCTTTGTCAACTTGCTTGAGCCACCATAGAGCAGAGATTAGAGAAGAGCACCAATAAAAGTTTTCCCTAATCTAGACTTGAGCTTGATAAATTACATTACATATCCTATTACAAAGTTGTCAAGGGAAGCCAAAAGAAAATAGTAAAAATCATACATTAACAAGAAACAAACCCATGTTATTCGTTGGAAACATGCCTCGACCAAACTAATTAATAATGTAATATATAAAATGACATGGGCTTCAACTATTTTAATGGTTGTGTAATACAACCCACAAAAGAAGTAGTAGGAAGTTTCTCTAATAGACACCGACTATTAATATTGTGGGTCATGCAAAAAACATTATCATTAACTAACAATCCAACATAAGGATAAAGAAATATAATATTAATTTAAAAATAACTAATAATGAGAAATAAATTAAAATTATAATTGGAAAAAAAAATCTAAATAAAATATCCAAACTAAGCTCAAAAACATGAAAAGAAAATAAGATATCAAATTAATTCGGAAGGAACATACCACTAATCATGGAATCGTGTGATTTTCCATTAGTATCAGCGAAGACGTCTGAAACATCAAGGTGGGTTATATTCACTAGGTGCAAGCCCATAAGATCAACTTCAAACTAGTGTGTCTCAGCTGATTTTTCTTTGTCCTTGATCGGGGCTTGGTAAAGATCTACAAAATGTTTTAGCGTGAGGCAAATGAGTGCAATTGGAATTGAGGAATTTCAAGCCCTCAATTATTTAGAATCAAATAACTTTAAATTTTGATTCAATCAAGGAACTTCAGGCCCTGATCTCTTGTATAATACAAACTCATCATAAGATATAATAATTAATTAAAACGATGCTTAAAAAAAAAAAAAAAAAACTTAAACCATGATAAGGTTAGAATGGTATGAAAATATGAAATAGCAATAGAAGTCATGACTACTACATATAAAAATTGTAAAACTCGTAAACCATAAATTAAAAAAAAAAAAAAAAAAAAAAAAAAAAAAAAAAAAAAAAAAAAAAAAAAAAAAAACAGAAACAATAGGAAGTTTGAAAGCCATCAAGGTATTAGTTAATGAATAATTATGATATAAACAATAATATAGAATATCACTTATCAAATACATCTATAGCAACAAATAAACATGCCGTGTTGGCATAAAAGACAGATGATATATCAAATGCTTGAGTCATTCATGCAGTATTTCCCCAAAATTATTTTAAGAACGATTTTTTGCTGTTTTTAAATTTAATTTGTAGGAATAAATATAATTAATTGTTTCCTAAAAATTAAATTTCAAAAGAGCAAAAATCGTTCTTAAAATAATTTTGGTAGGCAACGCAAAATTTGAATGGAATGGGAAAAGTACATAGGTCAAGCTGGTTAAGCCCAAAACGGTGGTAGCTTATCCAATGGGGCTTTTGTTAGGTGTATTTGTTTTGCCTTACATTATCTTTCCTGAGGAGCATACTGCTCTTTTGGAATCGAATCTCCATATTAAATTAATACTTCGTTTATAGTTCAATTTCCAAATTTCTTTTTGGTTAAGTAATTAAGTCTCTAAATTAAATTAGAGCCCATAAATAATAGGCTACTCTCTCCTTGTCCCTCCCATGCCTCTTTCTCTGTAGTCTTCTTTTGGTCTGAATCTTTCTCTGTAGTATGTTCTTTTATTTTATAGGGAGATCAAGAAATTATTGTTTGGCAATGTCCGAGGAAAATCCTCAAAATCTTGCAAACGCTAACCTTGCTCAAGCATTCGAGGATTGGATAATCGAGTACAAGCGCGTTTACTCGAGTAATGAAGAGAAAGAGAGACGTTTCGCCAACTTCAAAAAGACGTTCGAGTTTGTGGAGAATTTCAATAAAGGTCCAAAGCAGTCATTTATAGTTGGGCTCAACCAATTTGCTAATCGTAGAGACGATGAAAAGTTTAAGCCTTGTCGCTTGCCAATGTTGAAAAAGAAGAAATTAAGGAAGGAGATGTTTAGGCTAAACCTTAAACCCTCAAGCTATTATTAATAGCTTAGCTTTCAAAGTTTAAATAAGAGTACGATTACTTCATTTGTAATTCAATTTCCAAATTTTTTTCCGCTTAAGTGATTAAATCTCGAAATTAATATACTTTTTTTCTCTTGCGCGTTAATTCAAATAATTTTAAAATTAAGGAAACAAATTGAAGTAGATTTGGTGACAACCTAGCCATATACAGGGTAAATTTTTAAATTTATCTTATGCAGAATATAAAGAAAATAAGGAGCAACTTAACGATTAATTGTCTTTTGGATAACCCTAAACCCAAGGGTGGACGCATAGAGGGACAAGAGGGGTTAGTTGACCCCATGGCAGCCGGAAAGGTAGCTATGGAGGTCTCAGGCGACCCTATGGCTAGCTGGTGTGCGACCCCAAAGGTGCACACTAGGTGTTTGACGAAAAGTCTGAAAGCCCTTGTGTTGCTGCTACTGTTGCGAGCAGCACACGTTAGTTTTTTTTAATTTAAGCGCCTGGATCAAAATGCCAGGCGCATTCAAATTTTTTTAATGACTTGGTTTCAAAAAGACGTCGTTTTGAGCCAGGCTTTTAGAAAAAAGAATAAAGAATAGAACCCACCCTTTTTTCATGTTCACTCCAGGTCTTAAAGGAAAAAAAAAAACCCCCCTTTTTTCCTTCTACATATTAAACCAAAAAAGAAATATGGATCTTATCTTTATAAATATGCTGATCTTCAATCAATTTCTTCATATATTACAACTGTACTAGTATATATGGGTGGCAATTTCTGGCACGACCCGTTACACGACTCGAAACTCGCACGAGAATTTAGCAGGTTCAACCCACATGATTAAAATTCGGGTCATTTTCGAGTCAACCCGCCATAACCCGTTTAATAATTCGGTGAGTTTCGGGTCAATCAGCTAACCTGTTTAACTATATGGGTTATGGCGGGTTAATCCGCCAACCCGCTAAAATACTTATGTAACCCGCCAACCCGTTAAAATACATAGAGGTGGTTGTGATTCGGTAACTGCGAATTTTTCTCCAAACCGCAAACCGACCGACTATTTGCGGTAAGGTGATTTTTAAAACCGCAAACCAACCGCTTTTTGCGGTTTACTGCATTGCGGTAAATCGCAAAAATCGGTCGGTTACCATGAACTAACTGTTTAAACTGATTTGAATATTTTGGGCCTAAATTAGACAATTTAGATATTTAAGTGTGGTCTTTTTGTGTCATAAAAATTCAATCTTCCACACTTTTAAGCCTAGGTTTGATGCTTCTTTTGAAGCTTTTTGAGTTCAAGCATATTTTAACCAAAAAATATAAATTCACAACCTCAACTTCTCAAGCATATATAAATTTACAACATTAAGAAATAAATTCACAACCTCAACTTCTCAAGCATTCACAACCTAAAGAAAAATCCAATTCAAAGTTAATTAAAGTTACAAACCAAAAGGAGAACTCAAGTGTAGGTGGTGGTGAGTGGGTTTTATTATAAGAAGAAGCCCTTCTTTATGAGTTAGAGTGGAGATTGTGTTTCGGTTTGTGTTTGGGGATTAGAGGCATTAGGTGTGTTAGAGTGGCTAGACTCCATCTATAACACAACACAACACAAAAGCAACAACATAAAAGCATATTAATAATAGATTAAACTCAACCAAATTAAAACACAACATCTAACTACTTAAATGCAATTTAAAAAAATATATATTTGCAGTTTGCGGTAACCGCGAGTTGCCAAAATCACATACCGCAACTGCAACCGCAATTGTGGTTCGGTTTCTAAAACTGCAATGTTCGGTTGGTTTTTAGCTATTGCGGTTCCAATGCGGTATAATATCGGTTGGTTTTTGCGGTTTTTCGGTCTAAAATGCTACCCCTAAAAATACATGTGTAACCCACCAACCCACTAACCCGTTTATTTGTTTATTCTTCATTTTTCTAATTTTTCTTTAATGTCTTTTAGTTGCTACCTCTTAGCGGGTCAATCTGACACGACTCGAAACCCGCATGAGAACTTAACGGGTCAATCCGTGCATGACACGTTTATTAAACGGGTTGGGTTTGGATTGAGCATTCTTGACACATATATAATCTTGACACGACGAGACCCATAGCTAGCCTTAGTATCAAATAGCCCTCATTAACCCCCGAAATGAATAGTTCTTCCTCCTCTCGTCAACAATTGATTAAGGTGTTATTGATAGTATATTTTCATTAATTGATTAATATTTGTGTTTTGATTAGTTTATTAGGGTTTTTTTAAAAATTTGATTTGGGTCTTGTGCTTAGGGTTTTTTTTTATACCTGTTTTGTGCTTTGATTAGTTGATTAGGAATGAAATTGTTTAATTTTTCAATGTTATTTTTGTTTTAAAATTTTTTTCGAAACCTTTAGACCATGACCCCATGTCCTAAGAATCATGGATCCATCACTCCCCAAGATTGATTTGAATGCAATTGGAAGATTACAAGTTAAGCTAATTAATCGAAAACCTTGATTAAGTCTCCAAATTAATTTTTTTTCTTTAGCGCATTACCTTAAATAATTCAGAAATTAAGGATACAAATTTGACCTTATGAAAAAAGAGGGGAAACAAATTGAAGTAGGATTTGGTGAAAACCTTGAAAAATTATACTCTCCAAAGCCATACGGGGTAAACTTGATTTTTAGGGCCTATTTTAGTATGACCGTATAAAATTTGAGTTAGAAGGGGCTATTACAGCTAATATAAACTTGCATTGCACCAAATAAAATAAAAAATAAAGATTATTTCCTTTCATGTATTAGAATCAAATCTCCATATTAATAATCTTTCTTTTTCTAGCTCTAGCGTATTATTAAGCCCCAAATTTTGAAGATATCTATTTAGAGGGGCCATACGAGGTAAACTTGTAATTTTACAAAATATATCGTATAAAGAATAAACGACCCGAGAGAGAGAGAGAGAGAGAGAGAGAGCAATCCTAACCTAACACATGTTTCTAACAAAGCCAACCCTCTCCTTTCTCTGTAGGTTTCAATCGAAGCCTATAAATATAAATAAAAAACATGTCATTACAAACGCATCTGTTTGTTTACATTGTTTGTCTTAGGAAGCTACATCATTGTGGCTGAGTGAGTGGGGCTCGATTTAGACATTTGAAACCTAGGCTTAGTCCGGTACAACCCGAAAAAGTAAAAAGCTCAATAGGCCCGACTAATAAGGCCATTCGCGAGCCCACTGTAGACCCAAAATTTTTGGTCTACGCTTATTCAAAAAATTAATTCGTGCAACAATTTTCGGACTATAATGTTGCGAACCATGGTGCAACACTGGACACGAATTAAAGGCCTATATTTACATAATTAATTACCATTGCTAATTAATCCATCTATAAATACGATATTGTATGTCTCTCCTTTGTCCCATCCAAGCACGACTTTCTCTATAGTCACTCAGTTTTTTCTTTTTTTTGTGAGATCAAGAAATTACAACATGTTTTGATAAGAAAAACATTGTCATACGTTCTCTGTTATATTCTTTTTAGCAAACTATGAGTCAAAGGCAATTTATGAAGAAGCTACATCCCCATTCCCATCCACTACTGCAACATCAATATCGTCCGAGGAAACTCATGCAAATGTTGCTCAAGCATTTGAGTAGTGGATGAAAGAGTACAAGCTGGTTTACTCGAGCGATGAAGAGAAAGAAAAGCGTTTCGCCAACTTCAAGAAGTCATTCAACGTTATAGAGAAATTCATGAAGGGGCCAAAGACATTGTATACCGTAGGGCTGAGCCTATTCGCTAATATGGGTGATAAAGAAGTGAAAGCTTTCCATTGCATAGTACCCACCATGGACAATCTGTCTCTTACAAAAACTTTGTGTTTTTTCTTCAATTTGAGTTATTTTGTTATGTTAGTCTTTTAATAAGGAAGTAGGAGAAATTAGTGATGATGAGTACTAATTTTCTTGTTTTTAAGTTTCCTATGTTTCCCATATAGAATACGTCACAAAAGTGGTTTATGTATGTATGTCTTACAAGATCATATAATAATGTAGTATATACTTATAGAAGATGGATATAGATAAACATTAGGCCCACAGCCCGTGGGCCGAAGTGGGTCGTCCGAGGGTTGATATGGGCCAAAACTCGGCATGACTCGTTATTTAGGCTTGCTTGGCCCGCCCATGGCTCAGCCCGTCTAAGCCAATCTAGGCCTTATTTTTTAAGACTTAATTCATTCACTCCCTAACCCCATTCTAGACTTAATTGAAATAGTGTTATATGTAGGATGAATTAATAAACTTTTTATTTTTATTTTACAAATGTTGTGAATTATGTTAATTTTTTTAAATTCATCTAAAAATTTGTAATAGAAAGCTATAAGGGGGATTGAACTACAACCCCACATCCAAGGGCACTCCCTAACCTCATTGAAGACTAAATTCAAATAATGTAATGTGGAGGATGAATTAATCAAGTACTTATATTATTTAATCAAGTTAATTGTTCAATGTTGTCTAAAAATTTATAACAAAAAATTATAATACATTGCACTACAATTCCACATCCAAGTCTAACCTCTTCAAAAAAAAAAAATTGGCCGAGCCCATTCGACCTGGCCCGCCTTAAGCCCACATATGCTCGGTCTAGTGGGTGGGGCTCGACTTAGATATTTGAGACCTTGGCTTAGCCCAACCCAGCCTCCAAAAAAACCAACAAAAAAATAAAAAAAAAAACCTCGATAGGCTCGACTGAAAGGCTATATATGAGACCCCACCCTAAACCCAAAAATTTCGGTCTAGGCTTATTCAAAAAGTTAATTTTATGCAACGACTTTTGGACTATAATGTCACAAAACAGAGGGCTCAATAACGAAGAAAATTACCCGTAATACAATAGAACAAGTGATGATTTTAAAGAGAGACCATATAACCTTCAAGTAGGCTGCATGTACCAAATTACCATTTCTAATTAACCAGTCTATAAATACGCCACTCTATGTCTCTCCTTTGGCCCATCCAAGTACAAATTTCTCTGTAGTCAGTTAGTCTTTTTCTTTCGTCGAGAGATCAAGAAATTAGCAATGGGTTTTGATAAGAAAAACTTTGTCGTATGTTCTCTGTTAATACTGCACCTAGCAATATGAAGAATCCACATCCCCATCCCATCCCCTTCCCCATCCTCTACTACAACATCGATATCGTCTGAGGAAAATCCTGCAAATGTTGCTCAAGCATTTGAGCCATGGATGAAAGAGTATAAGTAGGCTTACTCAAGCGATGAAGAGAAAGAGAGGCGTTTCACCAATTTCAAGAAGTCGTTCAACTTTGTGAATAACTTCATGAAGGGGCCAAATAAATTATATACCGTAGGGTTAAACCTATTTGCTAATATGGACGAGGTTGAAATGGAAGCTTTCCATTGCAGAGTACCCATCATGAACAATCTGCCTCTTGTTATCTCCTCTAGTGAGGGCTTCCACAGGATATGTGGCAGGCATTGATTGGTCAAAATCTTTTGCAAGGTATCAAGGAACTTGTGGTAAGAGAAACGAAGTATAGTACTGTACTCAAGGGCGGAACCAGGAATTTTTGGACCGGTGGGCTAGCTAAATTTTTTAACTAAAATAAAACTATGCATTAAATCATATAAACCATGCTAATAGTATACATTAAATCAAATAAAAGTATAAACCAAGCAAAGTATGCATTAAATAATATGTTCAACAACATAATTAAAAGTGTACTTATTGAAGTTGTGCCCTGCGATCCTTGAGAGAATTGAAATCTTTTGTTATTACATCTGAATTGATATTGTCAGCAAGTTCTTTTTCAATGTAGACAACCATAGAATCTGCTAGAAAATCATTCTCCATCTTGTTGCGAAGAGCTGTTTTAACAAGTTTCATAGCTGAAAAAGCTCGTTCAGTAGTTGCCGTAGAAACAGGGAGAGTTAGCACAAGACGGATCAACCTATCAATCAAATGATATCTTTTTGACCTTTTTGTTGCAACTAATCCCCGACATAATTCAGAGAGTGTAGACACGTTTTGAAGTACAGGATGATGAGGTACGTCCGCCTCATAAAGTTTCAGCTGGCATCCCAAAATATGTAACTCTTTTGGAGTGAAATCCTGAGGATAAAATCTCTCTGCAAGGCTGCAAATTTTATCAATATTAAATGATTTAAAAGAATCACTAGGGTCCAAAGCTGAACTAAGAATAAGAAGTTCCATTGCCCCTTCACTGAACCTACTGTTCAACTCTGCCAATTGAAAATCTATTGCATCATTGAATATGTCAAAGTGGTAATGATGCTCAACTGTAATATTGTCCTTTTGTTGACAAGAACGACCTGTTCCCACTTTATATTGAGCATTCATATCAGGCATGTCAATGTCATGTTTCTTGCAAAACAAATCAACTTTCCCAATAAAAGTTTCCCAACCATTTAATCTCAATTTTCCAAGGACATCTTTTGTTGTACCAACTAGGTTCATAGCATTCACGATGTCTTGAGACTTATGTTGTAGTTCTCGACAAAGGATATCTGTGAGTCCCATAATTTCTTTCAATAGATGCAAGATGAATACAAATTCGAATTGCCTAATCGCATTGTATCCACCAGTAGCTTCCCCACGTAA